GAGAGAGAGAGAGAGAGAGAGAGAGAGAGAGAAATTCTTACCGTAGCAAGTTTACCAAAGTTAGCCTTATCAGTGGCGTGTCCTTTAGTGCAATCACCATGATAACACACGGGGAACTCCCAGTCTAAGTCGAAACCATCGAACCCGTATTTCTTTAAATAGGCGACAGTATTCTTGATAAAAGCTGCCCTGAGTTTAGCATCGGTAACCATTTTGGACCATGATTCGTCGGGCGCACCGGCACCCGGTGAGGCCACAATGATTTTGAGATCTTTGTTCTTGGTCTTAAGGTCCTTCAGGCTCTTGTATAGGTCGGGTTTGGCAGTGCCCGAGCCGTCGACGATCACATTTTTGCCCTCGTCCAATTTGTGAAATGAAAAGTGAATGTGTGTGCAAAGGGTTGCGTCAAAGTCTTTGGGCGATAGACTTCCCAAACGATAGTCGGGGTAATAGCAGACAACTCGGGGCTTACATACGGACAGAGCTAACTGTGCGCATACAAGCGCAGCGTATATTAGTATTTTCATGATTTGTTTAATGCTTGAATAATCTAATTGAAAAAGTTAATATTTATTGATAGTTACTTACTTATATAGACATGTAATAATGTTTATTTCACCTGTTTGTTACATAAAACTAATCAAAGTACAATTTAAATTGTCAAATAGATTTGTAGATAATTAATTAACAGGATTTCTAAAATAAACAAATGATAAATGTCAATTATATTTATACAATAGAAAAGTTTTATAATTTTTATATTGTTTTGTTAATTGTTTTATTTTCTAATCGATTTTACATATGCTATGTTATGCTTATTCAGCCGACAATTTTTAAAAAGTTAGTTTATTTATGGACATTAATGGGCATATCTTGTCTAAATACCAACAAATTATTATAACTTATATTTTAATTTAATATTTAAATAATAGTTAAATAAATAAATGGTTATATTAATATCAGCAAATCATATAATAAAAATAAACATTAATAATTTAAAATAAAAGTTATTAATAAAAACAACATTCTAATAAATAATATAATATTAGTTAATAATACAAGTTAATATACAGTTTATAGATTCAAATAAAATAAAATATTTAAAATCATAACGAGTAAAGTCATCTCAAACAATTTTCACTAATTAAATTTAATTGTAGTATAATAAAAATAACAGCATTTAAATTAAAATTCACAAATATAACAAAAAAAAGTTATCTTTTTAATTTCTTTAGTTTAAAAAATAAAAATTTTATTTTAAAAACTATTTGTTATGCGAACTGTATTATTAAAATTTTCAAATTAAAATAATATAATTAACTAAAATTTCCTAAAATTAATGGAGAAATGGAAATATAAGTTGTGTTTTAGATTCGCGTCTTTTTTTGTCTAAAATTTAGATACTTTTTATAATTGTTTGAAATATTGATTTATTATTTAAACTATTGCTGCATCATTTATTATCTACATAATATATTATACAGTATATTATTCATTATAAGTCTTAAGTCTAGCAAAATGTTGCATGTCTTTATATAATTATTTAAAAATAGTACGTTACAAAAATTAAACCTGGTAAACTATTTGATTACTTTGGTAATAATTAAAAAATTATTTAAAAAAATATACACAGTAAAATAAACAAATAACCTAATACAAACCAATAAACATTTAATTAAATAAGTTTGTCACATTTAATTAATATTAACATTATTATTTACAGTTTCTCTTTACTCTATTTTATATTGGCATTAAATACAATTATCAAATCGACACCTTGGTCACTTTACTTATCAATAAAATAGTTATTATTTAAACTGTGTAATGCTTATTCAGCCGACAATTTTTCAAAGTTAGTTTATTTATGGACATTAATGGGCATATTGTGTTTAAATACCGACAAATTATTATAAATTATATTTTAATTTAATATTTAATAAACATATTTATTGATAGTTTAATATAAGGTATAAATTGTAATATTAAAATCAGCCAGTCAAATAATGAAAATAAACAATAATAATAAAAGTATATCAATTTTTAAATAAAAATTATTATTATAATGCTAATAAAATTAATAAAACTAATTAGTTCTAGTAAAACCAATAAATAATAAACCTGATAAATACATGACAAATTACTTTTATTTTTAAATATTAAAATAAACTATATTTATCAAATATTTTAATATACAACTTATAAATCCACGTGAAATAAAATAAAAACTATAAAAATCATAACGATTAAAAGTCATCTCAAGCTATTTTCATTAATTAAATTTAAGTGTAGTATAATAAAAATAACAGAATTTAAATAAAAATTTAAATTATAACAAAAAAAATCTAACTTTTTAATTCCTTTATCTTAAAAATTAAAATTTTATTTTAAAAACTATTTGTTTTTCAAACTGTATTATTAGAATTTTCACAATTAAAATAATATAATTAACTAAAAGTTTATAATGAAAATGGGAATACAGAAGTTGCGTTTCAAATTCGAGTCTTTTTCTGAAATTTAGATAATTATTATAATTGTTTAAAATATTTCTTAATTAATTGATTTATTATCAAAATTTTACCTATAATTAGAATTCGATTATAAAGAAATTAATTAAAATTATTTTAAATTATAAAGTGTTAGTTTTATTTAACGCGAAACTGAAAATTGAATTGAACTCTACCTCTGATCATACATTTTCCCTCCTATTCATTAATTATTTAAACTGTATAATAAACTTTATTTATGGAAAATGAATACTAATATTAAAATTGAAAATTACATTATGGATATAAAATTAAGAAATCATTTTTAATAATATAATTCAATACTTTATAAATAATATACAGTACGGTATATTAAATATAATTAAAAATGTTTTTGATACTAAAATTATTTATTATTAAAATTTTTAATTAATAATATTTTTTAAAAACATGAAACTATTTATGTTCACAACCATAAGTCTCGGGTCCCTTTCCAGTGCCAAACAGACCATTATTAATTGCCCGGAGCATTGGGAATTTCACCGCACAGCAACTGCCCTGGGTATCATCCTGGCCGACCTCCCACACGATTATACCACCAAAGCCATTGTCTTTTACCCATTTGCTTTTGCTACAAATTAAACAATAATATAATTATACAAATAAAAATTGTTTTAAAAGCAACATGTTAAATCATCACTCACTCATAGGCCTGGTATGGGTCGTCATAACCGAGCCATACGTTGCCATTATAAGCAATGGGGTCTTTACCACCGGTGGGTCTCTCCTTTTTCCAGCCCTTATTCTTAACCAAATCGCTTAAATCCAAAAACCCTGAGCTCAAAATTATTGTCGCTATGGCCGGCGCTGGCGCACCCGATCAGCCCCTG